AGAGATAGAACATGGGGAGGAGCAGAGGGAGAGGGACAAGCAGACTCTCTGCTAAATGTGGAGCCCGAGGTGGGGCTCGATCCCAGGACCCCGAGATCATGACCTGAGCCGAAACCAAGAGTTGGGTGCTTCACCGCCTGAGCCACCCAGGTGTGAATATTCCTAAGTTTTGCTACAAAAATATTCATGGATTTAATTTTGTGGAGCTGCCCCAGGCCTTGCCAGAGGGGTTATGTGATACACAGTATATGCACTACCTGAAATCCACAAAGTCCAAAATTCTCGAACAGGCGTGGTCCCAGGCTTTGGACACTGGAAGCTCCGCGCCCACTGGGGCCATTATACCCAGGTGTACTTGAACGTGTAGCAACAAGAGCCGTGTTTCCTAGTAGTCCTATTTTATTCGATCACGCAATTCTCTTGTAACTCAAACATTGGAGTTTCTAATTTGTCTTGGACTGAGATATGCTTGTGACAGAATCCATTCTGAGTCCCCAACCCAATTATGTTTTGCATCATTTCAGAGGCCACTCAGTTAGACCGAGGCCCATCTGGAGGTTCATTGCTGTGATGTATTCCAGCATTGTGGACACAAGTTCACCAGCCTCGCCTTGACCTTGGAAATGTTGTGGTATTTTACAGTGTGTGGTGACATTTATGAGCCCATTTGGACACCCACAAAGGGTTGTTTTCCATAGATTAAATGTCAAGTTTGAAACCGTCCAGGGTAATTGAATCGTGGAGCGTTGTCCACTTAGATTCTCAACTGGGGCTGTTGACTGGACATTTGTGCTGTGGGATGAACCCACAAGAGCAGCCCCAATTGCTTAGGTCAGACAGAGGCCAGGGGGCACGGTGGGAGTGGGGAGGGTCAGGCCAGTGGAGTCTGATACCCACCAAAATATTGCCTCCTTTTTACTCCTTAAAATAAAACACACATGTGGTTAGTTGGTAAATAAATTATTGGAGGCAGAGAAAAACCCACCAAATGAGGTTTTCAAGGTGTTGGTTCATTTATAAAACCTGTGTGTTTTTTTTTTTTAAGATTTTATTTATTTATTTGACAGAGAGAGAGGTGGAGAGAGCAGGAACACAAGCAGGGAGAGTGGGAGAGGGAGAAGCAGGCTTCCCGCTGAGCAGGGAGCCCGACGCGGGGGCTCGATCCCAGGACCCCAGGATCCTGACCCGAGCCAAAGGCAGACGCTTAACGACTGAGCCACTCAGGATCCCCAACCTGTCTGTGTATTGACACGTGAAAAGGATGAAGAAGAATTTGTGCTTGGATGCGTTAAGGAGAAGTAATTTAAGGGGCATTAAACACATGTCCATAAACTTGCAGTAAAGCTTCACTTAAATTAAGGAGTAACAAAAAGCATCAAATAGTTCCCTAGAAATGGAAATGTCTTTGTGTTCTCATTGTCCAAAGAGTGGGTGCGTCTTCAGACTTTGAGTCTCTCCCTTTTTTTTAAAAGAAATTTTTAGAACTTCTAGTCACCGTGCTGTACATAACATCCCCATAATGTATTTATTTTATAACCGGAAGTTTATATGTTTTGACTCCCTTTACCCATTCTCTCCCTGACAACTACCAATCTGTTCTGTTTCAATGAGTTTGGTTCCTTTAGATTCCACACAGAAGTGAGATCCTACGGTATTTGTCTTTCTCTGTCTGACTTATGTCACTTAGCATGATGCCCTCAAGGTCCATCCATGTTGTTGCAAATGGCGTGTATAAGTACACATCACATCTTCTTTATCCGTTCATCTGATGATGGACACTTAGGATGTTTCCACATCTCAGATATTATAATGTATGCTATAATCAACATGGGGGTGCAGATATCTCTTTGAGATGGAGATTTTGTTTCCCTTGGCTTTATCGTCAGAAGTGGGGTTCCTGGGTCATACGGCAGTTCTATTTTTAAATTTCGAGGTATCTCCACACTATTTCCGCAGTGGCTGCACCAGTGGGCATTCCCATCCACCGTGCACGAGGGTTGATCTCTCAGATGTTTCTTCTCCCGAGAAACTGGAGTCGGGCAGATGTGACACGGGTGTGGATGTGCCCATTACCTCCACTAGTACCCAGTGGACATGAGAGGGAGGACAGCCTTGAAAACCTTTCCAGCCCTGACTCCTGGTATGTCTGGAGGTTCGATTGTCCGTGTGGGAGGGTGGCCTGCTCAGCTTTGCCTGGGGCATTTTCTGTCGACAGTATCGGCTGACCGGTCTCGCTAAAGTCAGGCTGCCAGTCGACATAGACCAGCCGGTTAAAATCAGGATTAAAGTCACACCAGCAAGTGTCAGAGGAGTCGAAACGGGCGTGTTGAATCCCTGTCCAGGCTTGGTCGGGATGCCTGCAGGAGTCAAGACAGGTCAAGGGAGCCTGTCTTTTTTGCTGACAAACCATTATGGGCGTGCACACAATGGAAGATGACTCTCAGATTCGCTTTATGAGGAGGAATTAGAACAAAAAGCAACACGTGCCCTCGGCAGCTCATCCCAGCCCACAGGTGTTTGCTGCCTCACGCCTGGCAGTCAGACGGAGCCGCGATCCTGGTGGGCCGGGTGATTGCTCTGCTCAGCCACAGTCATGGCATCTGATCCCAATAAACGACCTGGGTTTCTTCAAGAGCAGATGCATTGCCTGCAGTGATCACCAAGATGCCAAAACATTAGGTTTGCAAAGGAATGGGCTTTGGCCAAGCATCGCATTGTTTAGTCTACACCAGGCTAAACATCTGGGTGACTAGAAACATCTTGGGAGTTGAATGGGCCACGTGACCCATTCTCACGGAGACACGGCCTGGGTCAAGACCAGTGAGAGAGACATATGCTTGGAGGAGGGTGTTTTCTGGGCAGGGGAGGAGGGGAGGAGGCACCATGTGCTCCGTACTGTTCTCTTCTCCTGGCCTACACACTGAAGGACCCAACCGGGTGCCTTAGAGGAACAGGAGAAGAGTCTGGAAGTCCACAGTCATGGTGTCAGCAGGGCTGTGCTCCCTCTGACACCTGTAGGATAGAACTCTTCTTTGCCTCTTCCTGGCTTCTGGTGGTTTGCCAGCAATCCTTGCCCTTCTTGGTTTGTAGACACGTTACTCCAGTTTCTGTCCCTGTCACCCTGTGGCCTCCTTCCCTGCATGTTTGTTCTTCACATGGTCGTCCGTCTCCTCTTCCTATAAGGCCACCAATCATATTGGATTAAGGGCCCACCCTCCTCCAGGATGACCACATTTCAATTCAACTAATTACATCTGCAATGACCCTATTTTCTATTTTGGGTCACACTGACAGGTACAGAAAGTTAGGACTCGACAAATCTTTTCTGGGAGGGGGGACACAGTTCAACCCCTAATACCTTGCTTCTCTTTTTCTCAGAACCTGAAGAGCTGTGACATTTCTCCTTCAAATGTGTGGTCTGTAGGTGGCAGGTGGGATCTGAGCCACGATGACTGTAGGATTTCTTGGTGGCCATGGTGGCCCCTGTGGCAGGTGCTTAGTGTGGGCGCCCCACTCAGAGGGACTGACAAGGCTTCCTGAAGGGGCTGCTCTTCTTGTGTTCTGGCTCTTTCAGGGGAAACCTGGGTTGGAGGAGGGCTGTGGGGGAACAGAGAGCCAACTAGGTGGCCAGGCGTCAGTTTTGCTATGTGGCTCTATTCTTAGTACCTGAGTAGCCTGCTTTGAAGGCGTCTGCAGCCACCACGGTGGAGTAAGAAGGCTGCTCACCCAAATCACGTTCTGCAGACTTTACAGAGAACAACATCTCTGAACGCGAGAGGCTCTTCTGCAGGGGGCTTCTAGAATTTAGAGGCTCTCTGAGCCCCCCTTGCAGGGGATAGCCCAGATTCAGTAGGATTTCTGTCCCCCTGGTATCCTGTGCCCTCCATGTCATGAAATCCATGTAGAAGCCTGCTAGAGAGGCCAGTGCTCAGGGTTGGGGGAAGGTTCTAGATGAGGGATTCTTGGATTGTAAAGCACATCCATCCACACCTGGGTAGGAAGGTGAATAGGAAAAGTTTGGGTGGATGGGCTTTGTGGGTGGATTGCACCCTACAGAAGTCTCCCTGGGCCCCAGTCAAGCAAACACAGGGAGGAACCCACCCCATGGGTCTAAAGAAGACATCGAGCTCTGCTACTGAGAAACCTACACAAACCAGCTTCCACAGACTTCTAGCAAACTCTCTGCTTTCTTGCTCCTTAGGGTCTGGATGGAGGGGCCTATAGGCATGAGGGCTTTTCCTCCCGGCACTCTCTCCAGTGGATGCTCCAGTTTCCACCCCCTTGTCTGTCCCTCATTTGTAGGACCTGGAACAAAACCTCAGAGTTAGTGTCAAATGTCTATGGCGGAAGGAAAATGGTCCAGCTGGGCCAGCTTGGCGGCCATCTGTGCTGCGACAGGGCAGGTAAGGGGGCGGGCAGGTTTTAACAGAGCCTGGGAGACCCATCCTCTCCTGGAAATCCATACTCAGTGGCAAATCTTGGGCTCATTTCTGCCTTTAAAGCTGTTGACTTACTGCAAATATCCTGGGAAAGGAGAATTGAGGCATCCTTGAAGTGCTCTGTTCCTCCTGAAAAGCAGGCCCAGGAATGTCTGGGTGCAGAGCCTCCTGGTCTACAATCTCGAACAGGTGGTGAGAGGTACAGGATTGAAAGCAATATTAAAGGACTTATACAAAATTTTGTTTTTAAAATGAAATCACGTTGTTTTTTAAAAAGCTATACTTAGAATTCCCAAAGTATCAAAAAAAAAAAAATGAGAGCATCTATTTTGCCTTATTTATTACATTAATCAAGAATGAGTGTGTGAGACTGTTCTGGAAGGGAGGGTTGATGAACTAAAAAAGTCAAAGGGCTATTTCAGGTTCTTTGCAACATCTGCTGAGCAAATGTGGAGGGGAACCCCATCTGCTGGGGGAGCGCCCCCCTTCCTGGGCGTGGACACTGGGTGCCTGGTGGTTGGGTCGACCCGCTCTTGCCCAGGGCCTGCAGTCTGTCTGGACTCAGTGGATGCCTTGCTTCGGCCAGCCTAGCTCTTTGGCATATGCCCCCTTGCAGCTTCTGATCTCGTAATCGTGCTCCAGACACTTGTTCAGGCCGGGCACCCCGGATCTCCATCCGATGAAGCCCTGGGTCGTCTTTGGGATTGGGGGCGATGGAAGGATCTGGAATGGAAAGGCAAGGGGTTTAGCCACCTGGGGCCACAGTGACATGAGGCTTGTCCACGGAGGCATCAGGATCGGTGAGGGAGACCTGATGAAAAAGACAGGAAAGAAAACATCCCTGAGCGAGGTGCACCCAAGGTAACCATGCTCCAATCACCTGGACCCCGAGACTCACTTCTCCCTGCAAAAATCATGAACACCGAATATGTTTCTTTATCTGGTCATGCTTAACACGTTAATTCACAACCTCCAGTAAAATAATTTTCATTTGACAAAAGAGCAAAAAGGGAAAAAAGAGTGAGGTATAGAAATATCAAATACTACAGTTCACACCACTCTTTATAAAATATAGAACAATATTGTCGGATGGTATCCTGGCACTTATAAATCTGCCGGTTCTGATGGGAAGGCTTTATGATATGTGTGTGTACACACCCACGCACACCCCAGACTGTGGAGACCACGGGAATGAAAAGCAATGGAATTTAATTAAAAACCAAAGGGAAATGAGGTTCTGTCTGAGATGAAAAAAATACAGTTTCATTTGTCAATTCCTTGGACAGACTTGAAATATTTGAAAAATGAGGGCAAATTTTCAGGCTGTTTCTCCCCTTCCATTTGAAATGATGTTCTGTTCTGCTTTTACAGGGTGATTTGAATGACGACAACACGAAGAATATTTGTTCTAACAGGAGAACTGAGACAGAGCGGTTTCAGATGCGTGGGGTTATGCGTTCAATGCTCAGCTCAAGGGATCTGTGCTCCAGGCGGTGGTGGTGGCGGCGGGGGGAGGGGTGGGGGTGGTCTTGGCGGGCTGGCTGCCACTGTCGCACAAAGCCCCCAAACGTATGTTCTCGATGAAGTGCTAAAATTAATCTCCTGAGAGGCCACTTTCAGGGAAGGTCATCAACAGATGCCAGAGGGGCCTGCTCTTCCGCGCCTGTCCAGACGGGCCCTTGGGACACACAGACTAGCTTTCAAGTCTACCTCCAACTTGTAAGGGAGATGCAATCAAATACCACCCTGGAATGCCACCTTTTATCCACCACGTTGGCAGAGATGAAAACACCGCCATTAACAAGGGCATTGCGGGAGAACAAGTTGGTTCATTGTCTGTGAAGGGCGACTAGAGCAATTATCTACCGAAAATGAAAACGCAGACATCCTTTGACCTGAAATGTACTCCTAGGGACTTGTCCTAAGACATCCTCAATATCTGTGTGCGTCACACCAGTGTTGGTGTGGGGGTTCACTGCAGCCCTGGGGTGATAGCAAATCACCGGACACAGCCTGCAGGTCACCCGCAGGGGACTCGCTCAGCGGCGCGCGATGGAATACGATAGAATACTACACAGCAGTCTAACACGGTGAGGCAGGCCGGTATGTTCTGAGACGGGACATGTTGAACATAAACTGCTAAGAGAAAAAAGGTGCATAAAATAGATGAAATATGGTATAATTCGTGCAAGAAGGGAAAAAAGATTAAAGATCCACACAACGCGCTTGCATATGCCTATCCGGTCTCTGGAAGGGTGCCTGGGAAACTGAGAGTCAGGGGAGGGAAAGAGGCTTTTCAGGGCATGCATTTTGGGGTATAGCACACCTGTTAAAAATAAATAGATTTTTAAAAGGTTCTAGCCACCCAAAGGAGGGATGGGAAGGAGGAAGAAGGGGACCGTTTCTTCAGCAAGGAAGGACGTTCAGAAGGAAACGGGCCAAGTGATTTTCTCACCTGGATCAAGGTCCTTGTCCCCCCAGGCCCTCTGCTTCAGTTTCCCCAGGGACAAAATGGGTTTGGCGGTGATTATACCTCCCTTCTAGTGTTGTGGTGAAAATAAGATGACCATGTAAAGTACTTAGTATGGTGAGCAACAAAGCCGCAATAAGAAGAGCTAGCAATTTTTTTGGGGTGGTAGATAGAGGCATAGCGAAACATCCAGAAGGAGCTCCCCAAAATGCTAATCACGGTCAGTGTATATATGGATATTTTAATTTATTATTATTATTATTTTTAAAGATTTTATTTATTTATTTGACAGAGAGAGCAAGAGAGCACAAGCAGGGGGAGGGGCAGAAGGAGAGGGAGAAGCAGGTTCCCCGCTGAGCAGGGAGCCTGATGTAGGGCTCGATCCCAGGACCCTGGGATCATGACCTGAGCTGAAGGCAGACGCTTAACCGACTGAGCCACCCAGGCGCTCCTTAATTTATTATTTTGTTGTATTTCTAAAATATCAGTGAATCTATATTGCTGGATAATCAGGGGGGAAACACTCTCAACATATCTCACTGGAGCGTATTCGTTCATTCAGCCATCAGATGCGCACCCACTGAGCACTCACCACTGAGCACTCACCCACTGAGCACTCACCACTGAGCACTCACCTTGTGCCTGCCGCTCGGTCTGACCCTGAGCGCATCAGGAAAAGAAAATTCATAGAGCCTGACTCCTCCCACCCCTGGCTGCCTTCCATGTGAGTTTACATCTCTTCTTTCATCAGGACACAGAACTGCTTTCTCCGTAGCCTGGCAGAAGGCAAAATCCAGGACCAAAATGATGGACCCATGAAGGGAGGCCTGGGGATGTACCCAGCTTGGCAGGTCCTAGAGGCATCTGACCCATGTCCATGGCTGACTGGTCTCAGGTGGTCTTCTCCCCTCTGGGATTGCCTGTCGCTCACTTCGCAACCACAAGGATCTTTCAAAAAGGCAGTCCTCACCATGCCACAGCTCTGTTTCCCATTGCAGACTGGGCTCAACTCCTTCCTCTGGCCTCTAAGGTCCAGTGGGATCTGGCTGTGCCCACCTCTCCATCCACCTCACTTCCCTTCCCACTCTGACCCACCCCCAGCTCACTGAACTCCAGCCTCACGGCATCCCTTGCTGTTCCTGAAATATACCAAAATTGTTCTGCCTCAGGGCCTTTGTACATGCTCTTCCCTTTGGCTGGAAAGCCTTTCCAGGGCTGGATCCTTATCATCCTTCAGTCTTCAGATCAATGGGCACCCCCCCATCCCCTGTTACCCTCCAAAACCTCACCTGTCTCTTATCTCCATGGCATCTAGCATAGCAAATAGCAATTTTGTTGGGGGGGCACCTGGGTGGCTCAGTTGGTGAAGCATCTGCTTTCGGCTCAGGTCATGATCCTGGGGTCCTGGGATCAAGTCCCATGTTGGGCTCCCTGCTGAGTGGGGAGTCTGCTTCTCCCTCTCCCTCTGACTCCCCCACTCGCGCGCTCTCTCTCTCTCGTGCACACACACGTGCTCTCTCTCTAAAATAAATAAATAAAATCTTAAAAAAACACCCCAATTTTGTTGAATTTCTTGTTTCATGGGGCCTCCCCCTACCTCCCCACCCCCAAACCAGACTCATGGGCTGGAGTCCCCTCTTCTTGTTTGCCACTGTTTGCCCAACCCAGCACCCGGTGCCTACTTACAGCTAGCCGTCCCTAGCTCTCTCTAAAAGTGCCAGGTAACATTCCAGATCCTTCACAGGCATTATCCCACGGAACCCTGATGCCACTCGTTGAAGTAGGTGCTTTCGTGAGCCCCACTGTACAGGGGAAAAGGAGACATGGAATGATCGAGTCACATGCAAGACCACACAGAAGGTGAGCAGTCGAGCAGGATTTGGGTCTCGGTGGTCTGACTCCAGAGCCTGGGCCTTTACCCGCCCAGTCCCTATAAATGTCTGCTGAATGACTGGACTGACCCCGTCATTCTCCTGGCTTCCCTCTGCTTCTGCAGAGCTGAACGCAGCGGCTCCTGCCTGTGTCGAGACCAGTAACCCGATGTGCTCCTTACCTGTGGGCTCGGGAAGGGCATGGAAGCTGGCCTCCCACCTGCTGGCTGCCACTGTGTTCTTACCTTTGGGGGTTGGCTTTGTGCTCCTGGAGCGAACACGCTTATTTCTTACTTAGGAAAACAAGTATTCAAAACGACTTTGCAAACCTTGATGTATTTCTCCACTGGGGTCACGGGCCGGATGTGGAACCGCTCGGGAAGCTCGATTTTGGGCTTTGGGGTGGGGGGTTTTTCTTCACCCTTGAGCAACTGCAACACAATCCCCAGAGATGGGAAGCGTCAGACTGAGGTTAGTGGGAGCCTTCTCTGCATCGTCCCCCCAGGGCGCCGCGTTTTGCGGGAGACCAAAGCCGCGCTGAGAAACCTTCGGGAGCTGGGTGCAATCAATCACACAGTTAGGGGCCGTTCGGGGACTGGCTCTTCAGGCTGCTCAGCCTCTGGATATAGTGATCAACTGCCGTGTCCCCTACCACCTTTGGCAACCTGCTAATTTATACTCCCGAGTCATAATTTGAGAAAACTTCACAGGTTACGGACTCAAATAAATAATTGCCAACAAGGTTTCAGGGCCAATCTTTAAAATATTAGAGGAGAGCCCCCACCCCCCTTTTAATTTTTAAAACAATTTCAAACTCTCTGAAATTACAATTTAATTACATATAAGGAATATTAATATAGACATTTTATGCATTTTATATTAATAAGGACTCATTTTATGCATAACATTTCAAGTTGTATAACTCTGTAAGTATTAAAACAATTCATTAAGAATGGCATAATTTCAAAGCTAGCGGGATGGGGTAAATTACAAATGGGGTTACGCTGCCTTGAATCATGTATGTTTTGAATTATGTGATTCTTACGTGGTTCTGCATCCGTCCAAAGAAATGTGGCTTCTGGGTGTCCTGTCCTGGAGGTGGTTTGAAAGGCTGTAGTGTGGTGGTCACCATCCCACTGAAGCCCATATAGGCTTTTGGTGTCTGTATGGTGTTTTATACATCGGAGCCACTCTTCTATACTCGGATCTCATTTAAACATGGGCATTTCTGGACTGTCTTGAACAATGGGAATATGGAGTTATCCTCTCTGCAAGCTCAGCCCTCGGCTGGGCTGATGGGGGCTCCCCCTGCGTGGGGCCGGGGGTTTCTGCGGACATCCCTACCACTCCCTATGAATTACACCTGGCCCTTTTCCCTGTTCTTGTTACCCAGCTGGCTTAGGAAAATACCGAGAGTATCTTCCCAGTAACCCCTCGTATATCCACCTGGCTTCTACTTCTCATCCCAACTGGACTTCCCCATCGCCCAGGGAGGCAGCTGAGGACTCTCATCCCTTTTACAGATGGGCAGTCTGAGGCCAAGTGGCTCTGGAATCAGACAGACCAGCTTCTCTCCTTGGTGCCTCCCTTTGTTAGCTGTATGACTTCGCAATTCTCTGAGCTCAATTTCCTAATTTACAAAATGGGCATAAAAGAGCACACTCCTCTGCGCAAGGGTCCTTGTGTGGATTAAATGAGCTGGTTCAGATGAAGCACCTGGAGGTTGCCTGGCACGTAGTAGGTGCTCAATAAATTCATGAAAGAAAGGTTTCAGAGTTAGCGGTCTTCGGATGCAACGCGAACTTTATTCTTGTGGAGTATATGCGTCCTTATCGTTTATTCCTTGAAATAATCAATTCTATCACCCTGGGCTCATCAAATTTATACTTACCTCCTCGAGAGGGGTTGTTAAAAATCCCCAGTTCTGGGCCCAGTTTTGCCGTGCTTCAGTTTCAGCCTTTAGGCGGTATTTCCTGAAAAAGAAAGTTCCTAAGTGCTGGACAGTATTTGAAAAAGGTGAAAGTAGCAAACCCTAAAAGGATCCACTGGGGAACATTTTACATTTTTTCAATGCACATTGACTGAATGATGACTCTGTGCCAGGAAGGGAGCTGGGTGCTAGAATAAGACCGTGAGGGAGGCAGGTGTCGAAAGAACCAGAGGTCCTGGTTGGGTGGCACATTGGGGAGAAGACAGGACTGGAGGCCGGCTCTGCCTGAGGGACCATCTAGGGATGAGATTCCTCATTTTGGTATGGTGAGTGAGGTGGGGAGAGTGAAGCTTCTGGGGTGCAAAATTTAAGGGGGTGCTTCCTCCCAGGTTCCTGCAAGTGCAGAGCCTTCACTTGCATGAACTTGAGAAGCAGCCTTCCTTAAATACTGCCCACCAGGGGCCCCCCTCCCCCACCCTAATCCTGGCCCTGCTTTTGCTCCACATTAAATATCATTTATATATAATGACCTACTAGTTGAGAGCTGGTGTACCACATTTTGCAAACATCTAATTCACCATTCGTTCATTTTGATTTTCAAGTTTCTCTTCCTATTTTGGAATCAATATCTGCCCCCCACCCCCATCCCCCAGTGTCTCAACAGTTTTGGAGGCCCCCCGAACAAGCTTTTTGCCCTGGGCACTGAGCATCTAAAGCAGAGTCTAGTCTAATGGACATGTAATGTGAGCCTCAAATATGAGCCACGTACATAATTAACAATTTTCTAGCAGCCACACTAAAAAAAAAAGTGAAAGTAAGCAGGTGAAGTTAATTTTTAATATTACTTTTTGGTGGTGTGAAATCTTTGAAATCTCGTATGTATTTCACATTTACAGTTCATTCCAATTTGGACCAGTCACATTTTAAGGGCTCAATAGCCACTTTGGACATGGGACAGAAGAACAGTCTAAGGGTTGAACCAGCTCTCTTCGTATAGGAGGGGCCATATGATTTGGGTCTTGAAGGATGCATAGGAGTTCATCTGGTGGAGAAGGGAGGAAGGGGCATTTTAAATGGACAGAACATACTTGCTATGGTGATTTTGTAGGTATCCAAGTAGGAGGTAGATAAAGACAAAGTAGATAAAGTAGATAAAGACAAAGATTACAAAAATTAATAGTTGTGTATTTTATGCCAAATGATACTGGCTTTCCATTGACAAGAGTGATATAAAGTTTCCTATAAAAATAAATTTGAGTGAAACAAAGCCAGTTTAAAGAAAAATATGAAGAGATTAACAAAGGTTTTACAAGGAAATGGCAAAAATCTAAGAGATGGCAAATAGGATAACTCAGTTTTAGAGGTAAGCAGTTGTGCTTTATTGTTACTAAACTTTACTTACTTGCATCTTAAATTAGTAACCTCCCATATTGGTTAAAACCTTAAAGAGATGGTGTATTTAGCAATTCAATAGAATGCCAAATAAAAACATCCATTACAAATGTCTGCTCAACATAAATCTTTTAGAAAAAGGATTTTTTCATACATCTTTTAGAAAAAGGATTTAAGCTAAAATTTCTTACTATTTAAAAAAGCAGGAGACTCAAGAGAGAATGTAAAGAGCATATTTATCTCTCGTTCAAATTGAACAAATATTAAGATTTTTGTTTTCCTTTTTATAAAAACTTCGGTAAATCTTAAAAATAACATGTTGGCTCTCAACAAGCAAAGCTTTGCAGATGGTTGTAAAGCCAGATGTAATATCTTTCATCTTTAGTGGTGTGCCTGAGAGAAAAGGAAGAAAGGCTTTCTGGTTGAGCCAAATGCCCCGACCACCTACAGCGCACGGTCCTCGCGCCCAGAGGTCGCGCCCAGAGGTCGACCACCTCCAGGACTTGGAGGGGAAACAGGCGGCCAGGTGTGTGCACTTGAGGTGGGAACGGCCCAGCCCACCGGGGCCCGGATCCTGGGCATTACCAGATCTCGTCCTGGGCCACGAGGTTCATGCGCTCGGCCGCAGCGGTGCTGAGAGGTTTCTCCGCCATGGGGGCTCAGGTCTCAGGGGCGCTCGCACGCACCAGCCCCGGGCTCAGCGTCTCGCGTCGCCAGGGAGACCGGTTGCCCAGCAACGCGGGACGCGGAGGCGGAGGCTTCGCTGCACCTGGCGCGGGGTGGGGCTGCGTCCGTGTGCCGGCTGCTCGCCTCCGAGCCCCCTCGCCCTCCTCCCTGCCCACCTGCCTGGCCCCGGTGGCAGTAGCCCCCTCCTGTGCGGGAAACCCTGGGGAAACCTCAACCCCTAACACCCCGGTCCCTTTAAAATTTAGGCCTACATGTGAGGCAAGTATGCAAACGGACACGTGTACCCATCCGAGGTGTACCAAGCTTCATCAGTTCTGTCACAGAGAACACACCCCTGCGGCCACCGCCTGGATTAGGAAATAATCACCGTTCGTCTCCACTCCTGAGGAGCATTCCGTCCTGCCAACACCGGTTTGGGGCCCGAGATTTTGGCCACCGCGGTGCTGTTCTGAGTATTCCTGTCCGTGGCTTTGGGAGAACACATGCATGCATGTCTGTCGGCATTCACTCTTTGGAACAATCCCCCAGTGAAACTCACTGATAAGATGGCCTGCAGACCCCACAGCTACACTCTCCTTCCTGCCCATGAACACTGACCCCTCAAAATTGGGGCACTCAATCGTTTGTTGACTGACTTATTTGACCCAAAGGCTTGCACCATTGCACATTGTCCTAGGCCTGGAACTGGAAAATGGGTCTAATGACTGAGTGGATGGATAGCACGGGGCAGGGGGACATTTTTCTGCCTGAGCAGCCAGGAGATCCGCATGTGTGCAGGGCCTCCTGGGACTGAGTGAGGGGAGGCAGCATGCTTCTGCTGACCAATGGCTCATCTCCCAGATAATGACCAAGGCCACTCGGAGAGGGCACAGGTGTCTGTGATTCTCCCTGGTATGTCTCCCTACCTCCCTTTCCCTGACCTCCTTCCTCCCTTGTCAACAGATTTGTGCCTTTATGGGGCTGTTTGGAGGCTGTATTTTCTTATAACAATGCTCCCTACACCCAAGGCATGTGATGCTTCTCTTGGCTGTTGTAGGTGCTGGGCAGAGGCCCCAAATTGGGGTGGTCACTTTTGTCCACTCAGCCAAAATAGAGAGGGGACAGGCAGGGGCTGCAAGGAGAGCGGACAGGTTGATTCATGAATACAAAACACACTATGCCCGTGGCTGAGCAAGCTGGTGGGATGGCCAGTTTGGCACAGGGTGGACAGGTGTACAGGTGGGCCGAGGGTTTTCTTTCTGGCCTTTTCTGTGAGGTTGCCATTCTTCTAACAGTGGGTCAGTGACCTGGAAAGAAATGTGAATAGTGGATGGCTGGGGAGTGGAGGGTCCCTCATGCAGGAGGGGCAAAGGCTGCTTCCCCCTTGGGAAGCTTCCAAGATGATTCTGTTAAAATGATTAATTAAGAATAAATTCATTTACTGACTGTCTATATATGCTGAGCACTGAGGGTTCATTCATTCCACAAATGTTTGCTGAGCACCCCTGATGTGCCTGGGGATGCAGGAAGGAAGGAGACCAGCTAAGTCGTTGCCCCCACCCTGGGGGAGGGGCTGGCGTGTCTGGAGGGAAGACAGACAAGGAAGCAAGTGAACAAATGCACACACATGCTCAGGCCAGGGAGAGATGTGTGCCACAAAGCAGGTGACACCAGGAAGGAGGCTCAAGGTGAACGGCATGGAAGGAACTAGTGTGAGTGGGTGGTCTGGAAAGCTCTCCGGGGCCAGGTCATTTGAGCACAGCTTGGATGAGGGAGGGGGCCTGCAAGGTTCCAGGGAGGAGGGAAGTTCAGATCCTGAGCTGGAATGGGCCTGGGGTGTCCGGAGAACACTAAGGAGGCTGCTGTAGCCGGAGGTGCCCCTGGAAGGTGGGATGGGTACAGAAATGGAAAAGCAAGCATGACGCCTTCCGGGCGGTCCGTTGAGTAGGGACATGGATGTGGACCAGGTGATAGTGCCTCATTTTGTAGCGGTAGATGGAGTAAGAGTACGATGCGGAGATGGAGAGCGTGCTCCTGGCTGAGGCAGGGAGGCACAGAGCGGGTGAGGAGTGACTTGGGCTTGGAAAGATGAATGATAGTTCTCCGGTCCTGCCCACTCTCCTCAGAGATACCTACAGGGGGCACCGGGGGGGGGGGGATGGGGCAGGATGAGAAATGGGGAGAGTCTTGAGGTTGAAAGCACAAGCTTTGGGACTGGGATGTGGCCTCAAGCCTTGCTCTGCTGTGTCCCATCTCGGGGACCTCGGGCAAGTTGGCTAACCTCTCTGAGCCGGTGTCCTCATCTGTCAAATGAACTTGTAGGGATCTTAGGAAGCTGGGGAGGTGGTGGGGGGGAGCAAACATAAAGGGCTCCACGTGGTGCCAGAGCTGTTGGCGCTCACCAGCAATGGAGAGTATCACCCGAGGGGTAGCCTGTTGGCTGTCTCAGCTCGAGACACAGAGGGTTTGGGGGACAGTGTGGGGAGATGGAAATGGGGCTTTGAGCGGAACTGGGGTTTACTCCTTGAGGATGTCAGTTTTGAAGGAGAGGCTATGGATGGCTGCTGGCCTGGCCTGGACAGCAGGATTCCTTCTTTCCTGAGAGGCAAGAGAGCACTCACCTGGGGGGCCCTACTGGGCCATCCTGAGGCCTCAGAACCATCATGGCACCAGCTTCACCGGGCCCTGGCTGGGTGCTTGCCGACATTCTCTAATTTCTTGGAAGAGGGATTCCTTCGTGGCCGTTTTGTGGAAGGGAAAACTGGCTCCAACAATCGGTGGATGAGAAAGGATTTGAAGCAAACTTCAAAGCCCCCCGTCTGAGCATGAACACTGGGTTTGGGGGGCAGCCCTTTCTCCCCAGGCGCAGGGTCTGCAGGAGGGATGAGGTGTCCACATGCCCTGGTCCTCTGCTCTGTTTGGACCCGTCATGATGCCCTTCTCTCTCTGGATGATTTTCAGGTGGCTGGGCTTGGCCGTGGGTGTCCAATCTAAGCAGCAAATAATAGTTGGGAAGAAGTCCAGCTCTGGCTTTTCCGAGGTGAGGCCTGACTGGGCAATGTCCCCTTTCGGCAGGTCTTGCGAGGAAGTTTCTGGCCCTGCTGTGCCTCTGCCTGAAACTGCTCTCAGGCAGCTGAAGCCGACGGAGGGCCCAGATGGTGCGAGGTCCTGAGCGGCCCCCTGCCCAGGGCCTCCCGAAGAAACTTCTGGAGCCATGGGCACAGGACTCACTTCAGCCGGAGCCCGGGCTCGCTGTCCTGTCAGGGTGTGAACGATCAGTCTTCAATCAGCACGGCCACCAGCATGGCCCACCAGGTCAGTAGGGTTGCCAGGTTCAGCCAATACAGGATGTCCGCGAAATTTGAACGTCACCGAGCACACTTAAACCAGACCGTACTTAGGCCAACAAATTACAAATTATGTTGTTTATCTGAAATTAAATTTCGCTGGGCATCCTGTATCTTATCTGACCATCCTTCCCTCAGTGAATTTCTTCTCTCGTATGCATACCATATTCAGCAAATGAGTACATTTGCATGTAGGAAATCCTGTTTATTTTTTATTTTTATTTCCCGTGGTGGGGTTTTAATTTGTTTTATAGACATCCTTCCTCTCCTCACCTGGTTCTGGGGGTGGAAGCCTCCTCCCTATATTTGAAACAAGATATTCACGGACCTCTGACGGACATGATATTCTCCACCTACTACTTGAGTTTTGTTCTTCCAGAAAACGTGTTATTCAGCATAGATTTCACATGGGAAGATCGGAGAGAGAAAAGAGACCGCCGTCCCTGCTGATTGGATGTGGGGGACGAAGGAAGTATTTACAGCTTGCAGAAGGTTTGCTGTGTTCCTGCATATTAATATTTTTGGCCCTCTCTCAGCATTCTGGGACAGTTTATTTTTTATTTTTTTCATCTTGCTGTTGCTTTATAAAACATTTCAACAACTGGAGCCAACTGCTTCTTTTTACTTTTTAAGCTTAAACAGTTTTCTTTTTTATTGCATGATTTTTTTTTTTTTTTTTAAACCAAGAATGCTTTGTGCAGCCAACGTCCCCGCCAGCCGGCGTGCCTTTCTCGCAGCGCGGGTGATTATTACCCCCACTGCACAACAAAGACGTGAAGGTTTGGGCTGCAAGTGCCAATTTGCAGGGAAGGTATTTGATGGCTTCACGGAGTTTAAGGAACGCAAAAGTTCTAGTCTTTATAGCCCCATTATGCTAGCTCTGGTCACAGCCAAAGGACTCTTCTACCTTACAAATCGTCTACACCCCACACACCTAAAGTAACAATTACCATCATTCCGTGGGGCTTATTGAGGAAGAACAAAGCTGAATCCCTCCCATGGCGCCCCAACCTCCCAATCAGCTTGTTCTCCGTTGGGCCTGATTATTGAGCTCCCCCCTCCCCGCCCCCAGGTTGAGGGTGCATTTTGTTCCCCTCTTTCCCTCTGTCCTGCCCCTCCCTTTCCAGCTTCTCTTATGCCAACTCAGGCTGAGAGAAAAGCCCACCCCCTGTGTGAAAAGTCCATTTGAATGCCCGGGAAAAGAACCAGCTTTGATTTCCAGGTGTGGCGAACGCACGCCGTCTTTGCAATTTAAGGTGGTAAAGTGCCCAAGAGCCCTCCTCGGGCAGCTGCAGAATCAAGAGGGAGGGTGTCCGCGGGCTTTCCCACGGTGCCCCAGCCGTGAAGGCTCCGTGCTCCAGGAGGAGTCTGCTTAGCAGTGCATTGGCTTGGAGAACGCAGATTTTGCCCCGGTGGCTTTAAGTCCCAGGTACCCGATTGAACTCACATGGGGTTGTCACCTGTGACCTGCTCTCCCAGAGACATTTCATCCTGCTGGCCCAGCAACGTGGAGAGGACTTTGCTCCAGGGAGGACCCACTGCCCTGGGTTCTGCCAATAGAGGGTTGGGTGGAAGGTTTTGAAGGAAAACTGGATCTTTGCTTGGGGAGGGGAGGCAGGCGATGGCTTCGATGGTCTATTCCCTAAGGTTACGGCGGTCGTCTGTTTACTTACCTGGGGGCACTTGGCAGACTT